TGATGATGATGATGATGATGAGGATTACGATGATGATGATGATGATGATGATGATGATGATGATGATGGTGATGATGATGATGAGATGCTGATGATGATGTTGATGATGATGATGATGCTGATGATGATGATGATGATGATGATGATGATGATGATGATGGTGGTGGTGGTGGTGGTGGTGGTGGTGATGATGATGATGATGCGGCGAGGAGGAGGAAGAAGAGGAGGAGGAGGAGGAGGAGGAGGTTCCGCAGCCATTTTGGCTCAAGGCCAAGCCCCGAGCCCGAGGCCTTGGCAGGTTAGGTTTCTGCCTAGGGGCCCGGGCGCCCAGCCGCGACCGCCGGGGAGATCGCCGCAGGGGGCAGGAGACTGCTGCCCAGAGAGTTCAGAGCAGCCCCATCACGGACGGCCACATGCAAGACCTTGTAGACAGCAACCAATCGATGGCGCCAGTGGAGGCGCAGAGCCATCCCACGTACATGGTCCCTCCCACGTCGCCCTGCCGTGTGGAAGGGTACCGCCTAGATGCGCGCAGGGATCTCAAGGTGCCAGCGAGTCTCGTGTTGGCGGCCAGGATTCGGCGCAACGACGACGGAGAGGCCGCCTTGCAGGAGATTCCAGTCCGAAAGCAGAGCTTCGCCGCTCTGGGGCCCATAGACACCAGGATCAGGTGCACCATGGAAGAAGTGAATGAGCTCGAAGCGAGCACCCACAAGCGCCAGGAGCAGATCGAGCGGCTGACGGGTAAGACCGAACGCGAGTCTGAATGTGATGAGTGAGCCAGAATGGAGAAGAAGAGTTGGTGAGTAGGTTCGTTCAAACTTCGTTTTGAAACGAAAGCGAAACGTGAGCCGAAAACACTGTTCAGGTTGAGCCCTGGGTTTGAGTGTGAACGAGTGCGCCTGAGTACGGCAAAAAAGACGCAGGAGGAGGAGGAGGAGGAGATCAGTGATAGAGTGAGAAGTACACAAATCCGAAGAGAAGCTTCGGATATCCACAATCTGGGCGCCAACCCTGGAGTGTCCCCATCCCTGGCGGCCCCCCATTGGGGTGCCCAGATGCAGCGCCTGCTGTATCGCGGTGAGCAGTGGACCTCCAACAGGGAAATTCTTGGAGGGCAGAAGCAGGCAAACCGCTTGAGACATCCCCACACTCTGGGCGCGAACGGGCGGGTGTCACACCCTCTGGTGGTTTCCCCTTTCGGTGCCCAAGTGCCGCGCCTGCTCTATCGCGGTGAGCAGTGGACCACCAGAAGAGAAAAGTCTGGGGGGGGGCACGAGCAGGCAAACTGCATGAGTCATCACGCGAGCGGGCGAGTGCCATACCCCCGGCATCTCCCCCTTGGGGCGCCCAGGTGCCACGCCTGCTGCATCGCGGTGAGCAGTGAACCACCCAAAAAGAAGAGTTTGGATTGGGGCAGAAGCAGGCAAACCGCTTGAGGCGTCCCCAGAGTGTCACACCCCCTGGCGGCTCCCCCCTTGGTGGTGCCCAGATGCAACGCCTGCTACGTCGCGTTGAGCAGTGAGCCACTGAAGAAGAGGCCTTTGGGGCACAAGCAGTCAGCGCGCTTGAGACATCCAATGCATTTAGGCACGAAGGGGCGAGTGTCATACCCCTTGGTGGTTCCCCCCTAGGGTGCCCAAGTGCAACGCCTTCTGTATCGCCGTGAGCAGTGGGCCACCAAAGGAGAAACGCTTGGGGGGCACAACGAGGCAAGCCGCCTCGTGCATCCCTACAAGCTGGGCTCGAACGGGCGTGTGTCATCCCCCTGGTGGTTTCCCATCGGGGTGCCCAAGTACTACGCCTGCTACGTCGCGGTGAACAGTGGGATCACCACACGGAAGAAGCTGGGGGGGGCAGAAGCAGGCAAGCCGCTTGAGACGTCTCCGCGCTCTCGGCGCGAACGGGCGAGTGTCGTACCCCCTGGCGGCTCCCGCTCGTGGTGCCCAAGTGCCGCGCCTGCTTCATCGCGGGGAGCAGTGGACCACCGGAAGAGTCCGAGTGGGTCTGAGTCAGGAAGGTGTGTCGGAGTAAGACGGTCTGAACGTGTATGATTGAATTTGCGCGTGAGGTTAATTCCTTGAAGGTGTGTCCGAGCGATTCCGAGTGAGTGTGAGTCTGAATGAGGAAGTGATGCGGCTGAGTCTGCTTGAGGGACACTGAGTTTGTGATGGCTGTGTGAGCCTGGGCACGCCTGTACCACTCGTCTTGGTTTACGCTCATCTGATCTCCTTGTATCTGATGTGTATATATATATATATACATATATATACATTTATATATATATATATTTCTATATATATGATACATATATGTATATGTATACATCTACTTCTGTGTACAGTCGTCGTTGCAGTGGTTCCAAGATCGCGTGGTGCGATTTCTGCGAGGCGGGCTGTGTGGTGCCACCTCTGCAGGGCGCCGGCGAACGCCGGGCAGCGCACCCTAGGCGCCCGCGAGGCGCCCCCCCCCCGGGCGGGCACGGGGCGGGCACCCCGCGGGGCAGCCCGGCCGGCGCCCGTCCGCGAGCCCACGGGGCGCCCGCGCACGGGCGCCGGTCAGGAGGGGAAAGAACACACAAACACAATGGATCGTCGATTCCCAGGAGAACATGGGAAAATATGGGAGTGGGGGGGAAGACAAACACACAGATAGTATGGGAACATGTGGGGGGACATCTTTATTTGTGTGTGTACTGATTTGCGTGTCCTGGGGCCCCGTGGGGCGCGCGAAACTCGCGGAACTCCGAGAGAAAGTCTGTGTGTTGTGCCGCTTGTGTTCTCAGCTCGTCGCCGCCGAGCTTCGTGAGCTCTCGATCGCAGGCAGGCGGCGAGGTCCATCGTCGTCGGCGTCCGAGCGGGAGGAGGCGCCCGCGGGCAGGCGGGCAGGCCGCGGGGGGAAGGCACGCGGTCGGTGGTGGCGGCGGGCGTGCTCGCGCTGGGGGCGTGGTCTGCGATCGGCGCCGTGTGGTCGCCACCCACCAGAAACCGCCCCCAAAACCCAGCCCGAAGGCTTCCTGGAAGCCTTCGGGTTGGAAGTTCCATCTGCACTTCCATTTGCATTTCCATTTGCCCTCCATGTGCCCTCCAGTTGCCCTCCAGTTGCCCTCCATTTGCCCTCCATCTGCCCTCCATTTGCCCTCCTTCATGGAGGGGAAACGGAAGTTCCATTTGCCCTCCATGTCATTTCCAGTGGGGGGGAACATTGAAAAAACACGTGGAGCCCGTACCCCCCCTAACCCGAAATTCGGGTCCAATTCGTGTCTTCGGGTTGGGTTGGGGTGGTCTGGTACGTAGTCAGTTAGAGCTTAGGGGCCGCCGCGTTGCGCCAGAGGCTTTGTAAGCCCCCGTCGGGGCGCGGCAGAGATCTCTGTGGAGGTCCTCGCCCGCCCCTCCCAGGCGCGGGTTGAACATCACCCCCTTTGCAAGCCATACCCTTGGGTGTCGCCGATCAGGCAATCCACTCGACAACTCCATGATTCATCGCTCCTGATTGCAAGCGCTGTTGGGGGGATGCGGAGGAATAGGAGGCGGAGTGTGGGGGAGGGCGAGAAGCAGGGGCGGAGGCTGGTGTTGGAAGAGGAAGGGGAACAGGGTGGCTGAATGAGGAGGGCTTAGGGTTGAGGGCAGATGAAACCAAGTGGATGGCGCCGTGAGCTGCATCGACTTTTCCCACTGTTGTTACCTCTCTGCCTCCTCCTTCTCCATCCCCCCCTCCTCTTCGATTTTCCTCACTCCTCATCCTCCGTAGTCGTCGTCGCCTCCTCCCCCTTGCCTGTGTAATCGTGCCACCATGCGATCGATCCCGTCCTCCCGCCGCGCGCGTGCGCGCAGGGAACGCTGGCTTCCAAACCTCCTCGTTCTTCCCCCCATCCACGTGTTGCTGCTCCCCCTCCTCCCCTCTCTTCCTTCCCCTCCTCTCCCTCCCTCCTCCCTCCCCCCTCCCTCCTCCTCTTCCTCTCGCTCCCCTCCTCCCTCCTCCCTCTCCCCCCTCCCTCCCCCCCTCTCTCTCCTCCTCCCTCCTCCTCCTCCCCTCCCCCCCTCCTCCCTCCCATCCCCCCCTCCCTCCTCTTCTCCTCTCTCCCTCCTCTCTCCCCTCTCTCTCCTCCTCCCTCCCCTCCCTCCCCCCCCCCCCTCCCTCCTCCCCCTCCGCCGCTCCTCCCCTCCTCCCTCCGCCCTTTTCCCCGGCGGATGCTGGACGGATCCTTCCTTTCCTCTGCCCTCCTCCCTGGCGGCCCAGGCGTTCCTTCCCGGAATGAAGTCGGGCTTGTCCCTCTAGAGGGAGAATATTCAAAAATGGTCTAACATAGTCCGGGGACATTTTTGTTGACCGTGCTTGAGCATTTTTGGTGCATTTTCTGGGTATTTTTGACTTGTCGTTCAAGATCGGCCTGGAGGGGGACAGGCCCGACTCAATCCCAGACTTCCCGTGGCCCTCTGCCCCCTGCCCGGGGCCGCCCCGCGCCGCTGCTGCCGGCGGCCGATCCCGCTTCTCCTCGCGCGCGCGCCAGTCGGACTACTGCAGCACGTTCCGTGTCTTCGTTATCGACAAGCCGCTCCTGGGCAAGTACAAGACCTGCTGCGGGGAGGAAGAGGAGGACCAGCGAAGGAAGAGCTGCCGATACTCCAGGCCTCCCAACTCGGGTCCGACGAGGTGGGGTCGAAGGATCGCGCCGCATCGCCGATGCGTCGGCGATGCGGCTCGATGTGGAGTGCGATTTTCTTCACCTCGACGGCGCCAACGCACGCTTGTGTCGCCGATAGCTTGCCGATGCATTGGTGATGCATCGGTGATGCAGTGCGATCCTCCGACCCCATCTGCTCGGAGCCACTTTGAGAGGCCTCTACGTACTAGAGAAGGATGAGGGGGGGAGGAGCAGGAGGAGGAGGAGGATCAAAGGAGCTGCCCTGCAGCGATTCTGCCTTTTCTGGGGCCTCCCGGGGGGCCGTCGTCGCCATGGCTGGACCCACTTCGAAGAGTGCCAGGCAGAGCGCACCCCGGGAGAGAGGTCCGGGGACCAGCGCTACCGGTGCCTCCCTGCTCACCCAGAGGATCGGGTGTTGCCAGAAGTGCCCCCAGCTTTTCGCTCCATTTTGGAGCCCCTGGGGCCCTCTGGGCCTCGTGAGGGGTGTCCTGGAGGCCGTCTGGGGCACTCCGAGAATCCTGGGGCAGGGCAGCAGGAGGGAGGACGGGGAGGAGGAGGAGGAGGAGGAGGAGGAGGAGGAGGAGGAGGAGGAGGAGGAGAGGAGGAGGAGGAGGAGGAGGAGGATGAGGAGGAGGAGGAGGAGGGAGGAGGAGGGGAGGAGGAGGAGGAGGAGGAGGAGGAGGAGGAGGAGGAAGGAGGAGGAGGAGGAGGAGGAGGAGGAGGAGGAGGAGGAGGAGGAGAGGTGGGCGAAGGCCGTCGCGAAGCTTGCGGAAGGTCCTCGTGCTGCCGGTGCCTGGCGGATCCCGAGTCTGCGCGACCCGCTGGGCGTCTCAAGAGTGATGGGCGGGGCCATTGGGGCGTGTGGGCTGGTGCGTCAGCGGCTGGTGCCCGGGGGGCTTCGGGAGGACGGGGGGGAGGTGCGGGGAGCAGGAGAAGCGCCTCTGTGGGGGGCGGGGCGGGAGGAGGGGGGATCGTGCAAGGACTCGGAGGGAGATCCGAGTGTGGAAGGGGGAGGAGAATGAGGAGGAGGAGGAGGAGGAGGAGGAGGAGGAGGAGGAGGAGGACGGGGGATCCCCCGCCCGTCGTCCTCCCTTTACGCGTATCTCGAGCAAATCTGGTTTGATCCCCCCCCAAGGGCGACCGCCTCTAGGGGTTGGGGATGACTGC